AGGCTCCAACTGACTTAGCTGACAAACACCACTCTGTGCCCTGACTGCTATAGTTCTCTAGTGGTGTAACCTGTGTTCTTCATGCCAACTCTGTGTTTTCTACAGTGCAGTGCTTGTTTTTTAAAGTCTGTGAGAGTGTATGTGCTCTTGAGTTTACATAATGCGCTCCTCCCTTTGTGGGCTGTACTGCCTCAGTATTGCTGTAAATTCAGTATAATTAGTTTTCCCTACCCATGTCATTGCTATTAATATATGATATATTCATCAATTTAGCTTTCAGAGGTTGCTATTTTGTTTAGATGTAATTTGTATATAGAGGAATGGAGCCCAGAATCTTGAGTCTTCTACAAGTTTCTGGTCTCCCTCATTACCTCTTTATATTTTTAAGGCGAAATGGAAAAATCCTTGAATCATAGAGTTCTCATTATTTAATAAAATAAAGCATACCACACAAGTGTTACCCACTCTTTTCATTTCTGAGTATCAATTTTATCGCATGAATCATTCTGTGCACATCACAGAGTACTTTTCCTAAAGTATGAATCTCTTCCTATTTCTCCTCTAATTAAAACCCATCATTTTTAAATGTGATCACTCTTTAAAGTGATCATTGCTTTTAAATCCATCTCTCCTTGATATGACACATATCTAATTCTCTGTTACTCACTCATTACAACCTTCCTAGCTTCATCTCTTCTTTTTATTTTATATATTTTTGAAGATTTATTTATTTATGCACACAAGAGCTGAGGTGCAAGCAAGTGGTTGGGGCTGGGTGAGAACATTCATCAGATACAGAGTGGGGAGCAGAACAGGTTGATTGACTGAAATATACTGTTTAGGGGAGCAGTGAGTGAAAGAGAAGAGGTATGCTGTGACATGTTGGGCAGCTCCCTGGACGGAATCAAACTTGTGCTATAGGGTGGCAGATATCTTCATAGTGTTGTGGCTTAACCAGTTGAGCCACCATGGAGGCCCTCCTCATCCTTTTATTCTTCCACTCACACACATTCCCTCCACAATGTACTCTGGCATATTTTTATTTATACTGAGTTGCTTTCAAAAAATTCAAAGTGGCATGCTCTTCTGCAGGTGCTGTCTTTTTAAAAATAATGTTTGAGGAAAATGTGTACTCAGATTTTTTGGGGTGCAATGTTCTATGGCTGTCTGTTAGACCCATGAGGTCTAGGTCCTTGTTGAGAACTTTAGTGTCCTTGCTTATTTTTTGTCTTGTTGATCTGTCCATTGTTGAGAGTGGCATATTGGTCTCCTATTATGTGTGTATTTTCTCTAATATGCATTTTCATAGATGACAGTAGTTTCCTGATATATTTTGGTGTTTCTTCACTTGGTGTATATAAGTTGATGATTGTTATGTCTTCTCGCTGAATTGCCCCTTAAATCATAATGTAGTAGCCATGTGTCTCTTCTTTTAAACTTTTTTAGTTTGTAGTCTATTTTACCTGATATAGTATACCTCTTCCTGCCTTCTTTTTGGTCCATTTGCTTGTAGGATTGTTTTCCATCCTTTTACTTTCAATCTATTTTTGTCTTTGTAGTTCGATGTGTTTCCTGGAGACAGCAGAAAGTTGGGTTCTGTTTTTTAATCCAACCTGCAACTCTATATCTCTTTATTGATGAGTTTAAACCATTTACATTTAGAATTAATATTGACACATTGAAACCTATATTTGCAATTTTGTTTCTTTTTGTGCTTTTATTACTTGTTTTGATCCTTCTTATTCATCCCTCTGCTGACTTTGGCTTAAGGACTTCTTGTATTTTTTGGAATGGGGGCTTAGTTGTGACAAAATTGTGGAGTTTCTGTTTGTCTGGAAATTGTCCTTATTTTTTCATAGGGGAAGGAGATAATGTATTCTTGGTTGACATTTGATGTCTTGGAGTTTGTTTAACATTTCCCTCCACTCTCTTATTGTCTATAGCGTTTCTTCAGAGAAGTCTGATGTCAGCCCAATTGGTTTTCCTTTATAAGTTGTTTTTCCCCTGTTGTCAGTCTCATTAATTTTTTCCTTGTCTTGGCTTCCTGACGGCTTTGCCATTGTGCATTTTGCTGTATTTCTCCTTTCATCATGGTAGTTTGGTGTTCTCACATCTTGTCTGTCTGTTTTCATCTCCTTCTTCATACTTGGGAAGTTCTCTTCAATTATCTCTGTGAATATTTTCTGGAGTCCTTGGCTTTCTCCTCACCTTCTGGGAAACCTTTAACTCATGATATTTCCTCATAGTTTCAGATGGTTTCTTCATTTCCTTTCCTTTTTATTTCTTTCTCCTTTTCTGTTTTGATTCTTCTTATTTCTATGTCTTTGAGGGTGCTAATTCGTTCTTCCATTTTATCTCTTCTGTTTTCATGCTTTCCCCAGAATTCTTTATCTCCTCTGGTAGTCTTTTAATATCCTGTGTTCCTCTTATTTCCTTTTTTAAGGTCTCGTTTTTGTTCTTCAATTCATTGATTATTCATCTCATATCATTTTTTTCCCTTTTAATGGTCTTTATGTTTGTTAATCACGATGATTCTAAATTCTCTATCTGATAGGCTGAGCAGTTCTCTATATTTTTGTTGATTTCTGATGACTGATCTTTTTGTGGTGGATTTTTCCCCTGTAGGCTTGCTTGGGTGTTTGTACTTTTCTTCTCCCTGTCATTTGTTTCCTAATGCTTTCTATGTATTGAGACTCTTTGTTGCTAGTATTGGCTGGTATTCTTTCTGGGGTGACCAAAGATTGTTATTTAGACTGGTCAAGGTATAATGTGCCAATCCTCCATAGGGGTGATGATGTTGTCAGTATGGTATTGAGTATGTGTGTCGTATGTAGTAAATTGCTCTATCTCTTTCCATTGTTGTGTGTGTGTGTCTGGGCGGGGGTGGGGGGAGTGAGATTCCTAGTTTGTGATTGTGATTGGGGGCTACACATTCTTATTGGTGGCAGTGGTCTCTTGATTCCCTGATTTTGTTAGGGGAGCTTTGTGCTCCTGTTGGCAGTGACCCCAGCCTGACATGGTTTCCAATTTGGATGAGATACTATGTGCTAGTAGTGATGTCTCTGCTACCACCCAACTTCTAGTTATGACTAGGTGCTGTGCACTGCCTTTTATTACAGAGGAACCCTGCCTGTTTCAGTGAGCTACAGCCTCACCCTACAGCTCTTCCTGTTACTGACTGGGAACTGAGCATAGGCTGTCCCACCCTGCCCAGCCCCCAAAGTCCTGGGAAGTGAAAGCCAACTCTCCCTGTTCAAGAAAGGGACACACTTGTTTCAGCACCTGCAGCCACACCTTGCCACTCTACCAGCTTGTGGCCAGGAGCTCAGCACAGGCTGTCACATCCCACCTGACCCCTAAGTTTTTTGGGAGCAAAAGCTCAAGATGCCTGTTCATGGCAGAGACTGGACTGTTTCAGCAACAGAGGCACACCCTGGTCAAGACCAATGCTGGATGTTGTACCTTGCCTGGATTCTACTATCAGAGAATTGCCACTCAAGGAGGGAGCAGTTTCAGGGGACTATGTGTTCCCACAGTTTGTACCAGGACCCTGACCTGCCCACAGTGTTGGCAAGAAGGCTGAGTCTTATCCTTCCCACAGGTCTTAGCCCTGTGGATCTGTGGTAGTCCCTCTCCCCTCCACACAAATCAAACTGCTGACCTTTGTTTCTCTCTCTGGGGTTTTTATATGTTTCCACTTTCCCAGTTGCTTTCAAGTATTTTCTCTTCCTTTTCTTTCCTTGGTTGCGGTGTTCTGGGTTTGTAGGTGGAGTGGGGGGTGGATTGGATCCTTGTCAATACTTTCCACTCATATCTTCCATTGTTTTCACCTTCCTCCTTTTTCCTCTGTGTTGCCAATTATGTTCATAATGTCTGAGATTTTCCTGGAGTTTGCTGCGGTTTCTCCCTTAATCACTATATCCAAGAGAGAACTTAATCCCGTGACTTTTCGCTGCCTTGTTGGTCAGCTTTTCATTTCTTAGCTTTCTGTTATCTTTTAGTTCCACTGAGCTGGAACTCCATTAATATGCTGAAATCCAGTGACCTTAATGAAGTTTTGTTAACTTCATACAAAATCTTTAGGACTGAAAAGGAGGCCAATTGTTTTGAAATATAATTCTATATATGGACTCCAAATATATTGATAAATCACTGATTTGATTTTTAAATATTTTATATATTTTTACATCATTCTTCATTTTTATACAATATATGCTTTATCATTTCGTGTGTGGTTCCCAAGAATTTCCACCACTAGTTCACCTGTGTACCATTACCATTGTCCCTTGTGCTCTTCCTACAGTGAGATAAACCACTGATTTAGAATCCATATTATCTTAAGCAACTTCTTCAAGTTTTACAGAGGGGGGCAAAAAAACATAATAACGAGATACAAAAAAAACTTTATGTAAAGTCTCAGCATGTGGTTTTCAAATTGAAATTAAAACTCAATTAAAGTAAAAATATATGTCTTAATTCTTATAGTTATGTTTAGGATATCTCAAATATTTTACAATATTTTTTTTTAAACTTGGTCATTTATTATTTATTTTTTGGTGTTATATTATACTGGTATCCAAAGTCCTTCCCAGGAAGATGAGGTTCAAAGCTCAGGATCTGGGCTTAACTGGATAAGGGAGAAATCTGAGTTGGATTAAAATTTTCACAATCTCTGGAATGAAAAGCAAAATCAGATCTTGCACAAAGACTTTGATACAAAGGAGATGGATAATGGACAGATTCCAGCTGTGCATTGAAAACAAACTGAAATAAAGAATGTGGGAGCTGTGTGACAATCAGGAGTGGATTTGGAGCAAACCAGAGTGACTGAAGATGTTTGGAGAATGCTTTTCATTATGAGTCAAAGACATGCCATAGGGTGCAGGCATAACTGTTAAGAACACAGTTACTTATATATTAGAAATTATTATAGCAATTGATGCATGCATACTAGTAATTTGTTTATTAAATGCTGCCATTCATTTTGATGATCATTTTAGATGGTTGGTGGACTCTGGGACCGATTTCAAACAAGACCATTGCTGGTACCAGTAAAACCAGTTACTTTGTAAGTTTTATCTCTTACTTTTTTCATTACCAGACTTTTTACTATCACATGCTTATAATTAAGAATCTGACACACTAGCCCATGTGTTACAGAAAGTTGAGGGCTGTGTATTCTAGAGAGCACTCCAAGAGGTTTCAGGCTTCCATTCCTGTGACAGGAGGAAGAACCTAAATACCAAATCAATCACTGACCAATGTTTACTGATTTCTTTAATCTGCTCTTAACTGTTCTTAAACTGTAGACTACTAAATAGTTTAAATTTATAACACAATCTTTTCAAAATAAGGGATAATTTATAAATCATTTGGTATTAAGTATTATAATTTTGCAAAATCTATTGACTTTAAGGGACTATAAATTGTTTTCTATCAAGTTCTGTAATATGTAGTTTTTTGTATTCTATTGATGCTAGAAGGTATGAGTTTATTACTAATTCTTACACATGTAATTTTGGGCATGTGTCTAAACATTTGATGTTTATGCCTGTGGAAATGCCCTTATTTTGTTTCTTTTTTGTTTTCACTAAAAAACATAGTCCAGATCAGTATGTATTGTATTTTGTTCCATTTATTTGTGAATATTTCATATTTATGAAAATAAATAAGAATAATATAATCTGTGTATCTACTTATAATTAAAGAGCTACCAATACATTGGATAGCCATATGCATTTATTTTCTCATGGGTCATCATTATTCTGTACTCAATGTATCACATTTGCATATATGCCTTTAATCCTGAAAAAATATGTTTTTTAACCAGTATATGTCATTGTGTTTCCTGTTTGTAAGCCCAATAAAAGTGGTATCACATGTTTTATTATTCAACTTAACACTTCTGTCCAGTATTGTGTTTGTAAGATTCATACTTATTGAGTCTCTATGTGTAGGCATACATTTGCACTGTTTTATAATTTTCCATTGAATGGCTATACCTCAATTTATTCATCCATTCTCATAATTTTTTAAAAAGATTAATTTATTTCTTCATACAGAATTGAGGTACAAACCTGAGGCACAGGGGAGGTGAGAGGATTCACCAGAGACAGATTAATTTATTTCTTCATACAGAATTGAGGTACAAACCTGAGGCACAGGGGAGGTGAGAGTATTCACTAGAACAGGCAGGTCACTGAAGTACACTGCTGGGGGGAGCAGTAGACAGGCCAGGAGAGGTCTGCCACACCATTTGGATCACCTCCAGGGCTGAGGATCAAACCCACACTGAAGTGGCTGCAGCCAGCTTGCAGTGCTGCATCCTAACCAGTTGTGCCACCAGGGGAGGCCCATTCTCATAATTTTTTAAAATAAAATCTGTATTGCAGTTGGAAACAATATCCCCAATATTCTTATACCCTACTATAAACACATTTCTGGAATTTGCATACAGAAACATATCTAGAATTGCTGTCTCAAGTTGTGAACATTTTTATATTCTACATATAGTAACATCCTTCTGAACATGAAATATATATATTTCCTTATTCACTTTTTTTTTCTAAAATGCTTAGAGTTTTGCTTTCATTAGTCCCTCTTTAAATCACTTGCTGTTGACTATAACAGTGTAAATTGGGGGTTCATTTTCACAACATGATTAAGTACTTATTCCAGCCTACTTTGACAAGTATATTTACTAAGTAATTTAATGATTTTTATTCTGTTGGTTTCAAAAATAAGTAGTGAGCCACTATAAGAATTTCATAAAATTAGAACAGAAAATATAAGAAGGTGTTACATGACAATTTAAACAGATCTGTGCATTTTTCAACAAATATGGACAATTATAAAAGTAGAATGAGACTAACAATCTTAAATTTAAAAAACTAATCTTGTCCACAATGAAATTATTTCATCTTTTTGTCATCTGGAATGTCGCCTGGCTTTCTGATTTTGGGATAGTTGATTCTGTTATCCTCTCACCAAAGGGACAAATTTGAACATTTAATTTTATGTTAACTGACTCCACATTTCATTGGAGGAATGCTTTTTTACCACACTACAATCAGCAAAATGAGTGTATTTTTGAATAAATTACAGTTAGTAAGAAATAGTATCAAAAAACAACATTTTTCAAATCTTTGAAAAATTTCACCATTTAAATAAGATTAAATTACCTTTTTTATTTTTTATT